TCTATCTCATATATTGGTTTCACCTTTTGAGTTGTCTTCCTGACATAAATGAACATTTGCACGATATTCTAATTTTTCGAGTTTCACCTGTATATAATTTGCTTCTGGTCACTTTTCAAGAAGCTGACTTTGCACTCTAAATATGGCTCAGGATAAGGGTGGCTGAAGACTGCCTACGCCCACGCAAACTCACCCAGGTCCTAAGATCATGTTTGAAAGCTCCACTCATATACCCGGGTGAGATGGGTAGCAATCATGGACAGCCTTCTTTGTTCCAGCTTTTGCTGGCGTTTTTTACTGCTTGTTTTCACTAAAGCTCATGTAGGTTAAAATGATTTTACTTTCTTCCCATGCGGTTGGTTTTATTTTGGCATTAAACTATTTACTGTTCATTTTGATTATACGGTAAAGCTACCACAAATTACAACGATGAAGTGAATTATAAATATTTTAAACAAATAATTTCAGGACCTTTTCTTATTTTAAAAATATTATTGCAGAAAGTAACTCAAGTTCAGTTCTTAAGAGATTATATGTCTATTTAGAACAATCCATGAAAATGTCACAGCACTGGAAGTATGAAGTAAACTCTTATGATGCATGAACATTTATATAGAGGTTCACCATTTGTAGCATACACCACAGAGTTACCAAGGAACGTTTCCATAATATGATAGAAAGCCACATTACTAATTCTCTGCTTGTGAATATTTGAGTGTATTTTATTTGATCAAACTATGTTAAGGTCTCTCATTTTTATATCTCATATAATGCCACCAGCACTCTTTGCCACCAACCTTTGCTTAAAATGTTTTAATTTATCTTAGAAGAAGAAAAGCGTATGGATGATGGAATCACTAGGAAACTAAGTCATGCAACAGGAAGATAATGTAGCCTCCAGGGTAAGGAGGGGGATAGAAAGTTCTGACTGAACATGCAAAGAATTTCAGATAATGTACCTGGATATAAAAATTAAGGGAAAACTCAGTAAGTACTATGTTAGATATTGAACAATTCCTTAATTGTGGCAAAACATGTACACTATAGACATATAATAAATGACTGACTGGTGAATTAATCAAAATATTATTTTATATGGTATAAAAAGTACAAAATCATGATATTAAGCCACTGGCTTCACAGTAAGTTTTAAATTCAATAAATGCACATACCTGCTTTAATCAAACTTTTTTCAATTACTCAGCACTCTATTGTGGCCCTCCTTGCTGAGCACAAGTCACATATTAGAAAGTCATGATGGTGAATATTTTTTGACATTTTAATTGTTCATCAACAGAACAGATGTGAGATATAATAAAGAACTTTTTTATACAAATCCTTCAGAAATGAAGAGTTTTCTTCAAGTTGCTCCCCGCAGTGTAAAAGTTTGTAAAAACATTAAACGAACAGATCTATATTAAATGCAAGCTATATTAATTGCCAGTGTGCTTCTTGGTCCAATTCAAGGTGCTGTTTTTGACCTTTAAAGCCCTTCATGGCATGGGACAAGGTTATTTGAGGGACTACCCCTTCCTGATTACATCTGCCCATTCCATCAGGTCTGGCAGAAGAGGTATGTTGTGGGTCCCATCTGCTAAGAAGCTACATCTGGTGAGAGCCAGGACACAAGCCTTTTCTGCTGTGGCAGTCCTCTCTGGAACATCATCCCCCCCGCCCTGAGGTGAGGTTGGCCCCATCCCTACTAACTTTCCATAAGTCCCTCAAGACTTGGTTGTGTCAGCAGGCCTGAGGATCCCAAGGGAATAGTCAGTTGATGAGGTGGCTCCATTGTTGTTAATATCTGATGCTCTCTCCTTGCCATCATAATATTGATTTTTTAAACTGTCATTTGTTTTTATATTACTGTTTTATAGTTTTTTATTGTATGCCACCCAGTCATGTTTTTTGACATGGGCAGCCATATAAATATGATAAATACCCTCCCCCCCATGGAGACGACATAAATTGTTTCTTTTAATTTATGTTGGACAGACTCAATGGAACCTAAAGTATGTCTTTTAAAGTATAGCTTATTTGATAGGATACCAAATGAATCATTCCTAATGCTGAATTTGCCTTAAATGCTTTAATCCTCTGGAAATCAAAGCATTTGGAAGGGAATATTCTATTGGTACCTTGTTCTATAAAGCTTCCAAAACTATTGAGATACATCTACCATTGAGTTAACTCAATACGCTACAGAAACTGAAGTGTATCCAAAATTCCTTGATGTCTCTGCATGTGACATTGCTCATCATTATTACCAGCTGTAGTCCAGACGCATTTGAAAGTATCAAACTGGGGAGAGCTACTATATTATTTTTTATTCTTGCCATGAATATTCCAGAACAACAAGGTGCTAATAAGAGACATTTCTGTGTTCAAACTATCTTCTTTTTGAATAAGATCTATTCTTATTATTTCTATTAGAAACATTCTACTCTTCAAAGGTCTTTCAATAAATCAACAGCTATAACTATTTAAAAATCAAAAAGCACATACTTACGCTGGTCAGTCAAATAACCGTTTTAAAGCAATGGCTTCCAAGAAAAGAACATAGGAAATTGCTTAAATGAAAATAAGAAAGAAAAGATATAAAATCTAGTCTTCCTATTTCTTTTCTCTGAGAAGCACTGGAGATCCATTAAATTATAGAATGTACTCATACACAGCAATGTTGTAGAGTTAGTTCTATTAACAAGGCTTTGAAATGATACCCACATATGTTGCCCCCAATCATGCCAAAGCAAGGCATAACATTGAACAATGTATGTCAGCCTAATCAGAGTTTAACTTATAAATATAATGTTCTAAAGAAGGGCATATATAATGTTTGTCAGCTCTGTAGGAAATACTAAGCCACCACAAATAATTCCCTTTACTCACCACTCATTTATTTGAATATCAGTATATAAGCAACTGCATCGCAAAAGTGTATCAAATAACTGTAAGTTAAAGAATCTGATTATTATAGCACTGCAACTACAGAAGATAAAAGGATATTACACTGCTCAGAGGCAGCTGTATCATCAAAAATGTCAAACTCATTTTGGCTCAAGCATGTGTTCAGACCATGAAACTACAGTTGTGTAAATATGAGAGGGTTTTTTTTGTTAACAAAAGAAATTAAATACCCACCTAATTTTGCTTCAGAAGTATCCATCTCCCATTTGCTTTTCGGAATGTAACCCTAAATCATATACAGAAAGAAGCTCGAAGGATTAGAGAGAGATACAGAAGGCATATAACATATTTTAATCTGCAACAGAATTATACTGCAAACATTTTCTTAAGACACTCAACCTGAACTGTAAACTTGATTTGAAATTGTAAAATGTTGCAATATGAAAATGTTCATATTTACTCTGCATCCAGTACAAGAGTGTATCTCACAATAAGAGTGTATCTTACAATAATTTCACAATAAGAGTGTATCTCACAATAATAAGGTATGATATATCTCTCAGTGTGGTGTGTGTTTGCTATCCAGAAGACAGACTTTCAGATGTATTGGTCAGGATTCATGCCTATGCATCAGGGATTTCCACGTATCATTTTATAATAGTATCTTCACAGGTCATCTCAATGCCACAACTTTCTATATGGAAACATAGTGTAGGATGAAGGCTTCAGCAGCCCAGTATATGAATGTCTCTGATGGTTATTTGATTTTTCTTTCTAGGGACTCTTCCCTAGTTTGTTTAAAAAAAGTATTCTGAAATTGCTATTTTTTCCAGTAGTACAGGTTTTGCCCTCATTAGCATTTGTTAAGAATCAGAAAAGAATTTAATATTCACAAAAAGCATGTATTATTGAATGCAAGAACTGATTGAGAAAACCCAGTTAAATCCAGTTGAAATGACAGAAAATATTTATTGATGGAAATCTCACTTTTTTAGTTATCAAAAATATGTAACACATTAACTTCAGCAAAGTCTGATTCTGACCCAGCAGAATACATAACGAAGCAGGCAGGACACCACAAGTAACCCACTTTTTCAAAAAGATGAAATTTCACCCATCAGCTATTTAGAGATTAGATCCAAATCTTGCTTCTCCTTCTGAACAGCTGATGGCATGGTTTCACCTCTTTTGCCCATTGAACCTTGGCTTCTGGACCGAAAAGCAATACAGCAAGGGCAGCATGTGTGTGTGCAGGTCTCCTCATCCAACCAGGGACGTGCACTTATGTCTCCTAGTTAAATTAGGGCGCAAGACTGAAAATTATAACCCAATACCTCAGTCATTGTTTAATACATTTTATACAACACAACTTGTTTCAAGTTGATTTAAAGTAACATTTTACATAATCCATATAAATAGAAATATTGTTGCTTGATGGACTACCTGATTTAGAAATAGGTTATGCTAACTATTTGGAAGGCAGACTGCAGCTCTTAGGTGCTGCTTGATCTGAAGCCACATCTAACTGCAAGAAGTATGAACACTTTTTAGCAGCTTAGACTGGTACACCAGCAGCACTGTTTTCTGAAACTGTATGCTCATGTTCTACGAACCTCCACACTCCACTTCTTTAATATGCTGCTCTTGAAAAAATGTCTGGAAACGCTGAGGTAAAAGTTGCTGGCCCAGTAAAGCACATTATTCTGGAATTGGTTAATTTGTACTGGCTATTTGTTGGTTTCTGGTTCAGATCAAAATGCTGATTCTTATCTGTAAAGCCCACATAGCCTTAAGGCCCTAAACAGCTTTAAGAAGAAATCTGTCCTGTATACATACCACCAGATCATGTTCTTTTTGCTCTCAATAGCTGAAGTTTGGAAGTTGTCTAAGAGAAGCAGGTTATATTTACTACTGGTAGCAGCAGTATGGAATATCTTAATACTTAATCACTTTAGGTGAAATGATTATGCTGCCCATTTGTTTTTTCCCTGGTATTCATTATTCCATAATCATTGAATAACTTGGTATTCCAGTTAGTCATTGTTGGTTTCTGAGATTCCACTGAAATGGCTGTTACTTACATTTGTTCTCCTATATTGTACTTTGGAGGTGGGTGTTCATATTGGTAATTGTTTGAGTTATTTAGTTATTTATATTTTCAACCCATTTACATTATTTACTCCATGAAAAGCAATTATATCAATTCAGCATTTTTTCCTTTTCCCCTTTCCCTTTTATGAGAATGCATTCATTTGCAAGAATAAAATCCTAAAGAAAAATTACATGTTGGAAATTTCTTGATGAAAAGCAGACAATGGAAAAACAGTACAGAAAAGGTGCTTATTTTTCACCTCTGTACTGCCATTTTCACACCTTTATCCTCACCATCCTTCATCCCAACACACCCCTTTCTTAAGAGAAAAGCAAGGCAAGGGGAAGTTATATAGAATTCCATGAAATGTGACATTTGCACTTTACTTCTGTGGCAGAATATTATACAGACTATTCTTGTATACCAGAAGGATACTAGTGTTTTTATACTGTCGTAATATAACATTAATTTAAAATGAATGAACTCAGTATCTTATTCATGTTTCATGAAGTACTATTTTAAATGGTTTTTCTTTTGAACATTGTTATACTGTGTGATACAAATATCCAATAATTACAAGCAGTTTATTAAATCAGCTAATACAATGACAGGAAGATATGCTGTTGAACATACAGTATATCTTGCAGCACATGTCCTTCTAATATCCTGATACTTTTAAGAGAAATACTGGTAGTAAACAAATACTTTTAAGTATAAAGCAGTTATCCATTACACACTTCTAGCTGCAATTTCATATACTTGGGAGTAATTCTGGGTACAAATGCAGAGAATTTGGCTGAGTCTTTTTAATGGATTAATGCATATATGGAAGGCATCATTTTGGGAAAGTTGCTTTATCTCATAAATACTCATTACTTTCAGCAAGAAAAGTTTGTTGTAAAGTAAACCAATGGCTAGTTAGCAGGCTATGTTCAAGTACAAAGACAGATCTTTGGATGGAGTTCAAAAATATATTTACTTTGAGTGTACTGTTTTCTAGTGTTCTGCTTTTCCTTCGTATATTTGGTTTTCTTGATCACATTTGTCTTCTAAAAAGAATCAGTACAATTCAGAAGGAATAAAATCAGTAGCATCCACTCTCAAGAGGGGAGATATATGATGATAACATAAAAATGTTAAGAACTTGAAATGCAGAATGCACAAGAATGGAAACACTTGTATCACTGGTCTAATTAAAAGAAGTATTGCATGTTATTTTTATTTAATCAAAAAGGCTCATGTTGCTAATCTTTAAATTTCATTTACCTGAATGGTGATGGTCACCAACCTTGAAGACTTTAAGAGAAAATTTCAACAGGATATAGCCATGGCTGTTAATAGCCACCTCCAGAATCAAAGACTGTATTTCTCTGACCAATGACTGGAAAAAAGCAGTGACAAAGGGCTATGCTCTGTGGGCTTTCCATAGCTCTGTGGGCTTTCCATCTGCTTGATTACTACAGGAACCAGGACACTGGATTAAAGATTTTGGTGTGATCCAGCAGAGTTCTTCATATGATGTAATCTTAATTCTTATGAAAAAAAAATCTACTATAAGAAAATCTAGACAGATAAAGAGAAGTTACTAGAGAGGGCAGGTAACTCTTGTCAACTCAGAAGAAATGGCTTGAAACTCCTTTCACAGTGAAATTTGTGCCCAATTTTGGGGTTGATCATCAGAATCCTGGAGAAAAGGTTTTAATTTCTAAAATCAAAATGTTTAGCAATCTGTGAGGCTTTTTAAAAAAAAGGTACAAAGGGAAGAATTGATACAATAAAGGGATTGTGCTTTGGGAAATCTTAGCGATCAAAGCTGAGATCCACTGGTCTCTTACCAGTTGACCAGAAAAGAACCTTACAGCAAGTGCAGATTCTATTTCTAGTTCAAAAGGTAGGAGAGCAGCCAACTATTGGATGCATAGCAACAGTAACTTTGGTTCAGAATGGACAATCCTTTTAGGGATATACTGTGTCTGAAGCAATCTACTGCAAGACCCAGACCTCAGTGAGTATGGAGCAAAATCATCTTATAAAGAATTCATCTTCTTAGAAGACTGGAACAGCATAATAGAAGCTATGTTTTATAACAAAGTCTCTATGACGTGACGAAGTGGCTCCAGTAATAGCAGTGAAAACTCCAAAACGTTAACATATGAACGCAGAATCAGGATAAAGATCTCATAATGTTCTAACCAAAAACTGAATGAGAAGTCAGGCTATGAAAATCTTTCCAGTAAGATTGATTTATTGTTGTCCTTTGCATGGGGAAAAGGTTAATTCAAGCTGATCCTTCTTTAGCAAAATTGTAAGTAAAGGTATTTTGCTAGCAAGCTTGTTGTCTGACCATCAGTTTAATATGCTGAAGATATTTCAGGAGTAATCTAGACAAGTTGTCATTCAGTTCTTCACTGGATCACCAGATAGCTCCTAGAACATTCCAGAAATGCTACATACTTGTACATTTCCTCAACAAAAAATTATTTTCATAATACCTGCTTTCCTCCAGGATATCTACTCTTTATAGTAAATATTCATGCAAGAATTAATAGAAATGCTATGGAATATGCCAGTTCCCTGAGGAAGACAACATTATACAAGATATGAGGAAGATCTACACATTTTCTCAATCAATCTGAAGACATGGAACTGCATAATTTTAAGCTTGGGTCCCCAGTAATTACATGAAATGTTTTTGATGTCCTTCCAAGGTAAAGAGTAAATGTTGTGTCCAGAACATTTAAAATCATGTATCTAGGTGTGTAGAGTTGGAGTATATTATTTGAACATTTCACATGCACATCCATTTTCAAAATTTCAAGTTCCCTGTCACCGAGAAGCTTATCTAATAAGCACCATCTTGGTGCAATGATTTTGTAGTAAGATAAATAACATATACTAATACATTAGCATTTAACGATGAAAGTACCTAAATAAAAATAGGTGATTCTATAATGTGGAAACAGTAATGATATAAATATGCAATCTACAAAGAATTGGGCATTCGCTATGCACCCTTCACAGTTTAATTGTTTAAAATGGTGACAGATGATCTTGGTGGTGTTCTGCAAAAATAATTACAAATAAATTTTATTTGTAGAAATTATTGTAAATGTTGTATTCTTTCTAAAAATTATATTTGAAAATAACAGCAAATCTTACCAACTTAAAACAAATCAGTAGCAGGCATCTGAAAAAGGTGATGTCCAAGTAAATTGCGAAGAAATAAGAATGTTGTGTTTCCTTGTGTATGTGTGTGAGAAGCACCGTGATAATATTAAAGGTAAAAGATACATAGTTAACTTTCCTTTTTTTCTTAGTAATTTTTTCAGACTTTAATTTCCATTAACTGAAGAAACATCAAGATATCAGTTTATTTTGTGCTGGTAGATGCCCTGAGACCAAATGTTATTGATTAGTACTGAGAAATATTTTGTCATCTCCAGCTAATGGTGCTCATTTGCCAAAGAGTTTATTTCATTACATCCAAATGAATTCTTTGGATGGGGGTGGGGGATTCATTCAGAGCTGTTATATCTGTATGTATGTGTACACGTGTGCATGTACACATACACAAACACACAAATGAAGTAGTGAGAGGAGATAAATTTATGCCGTCAACATGAAACAACAGAATCATCCCAGGTCTGATTGGTCACATTATCCTCACCAAATGGTATAAATACGAAGAAGTTCAAGGAGGACAACTGAAAGCATCTATTTGGACTTCACAGTGTTTTGGATAAATGTGTTTCATTTTGACAATAGATAGATAAACTTATTTCCATAATAGGAATTCATCAGTTATTTTCTGATACCTTTGTATACACAATTCTTCTTGATGAACCATCTAACAATTCAGTTGGTATCCTGGTAGGATCCAACCATTACCATTACCATTACCATTTGAATCAATGCCAGACAGAATACTTATTTTCCTGGAGAATTGGTTCAAAAAAGTGAAATCAAGAAATGTCAAACAGATATGTGTGAGTGGACAGAGGAGGTGCTAGAATTTCCTTGATAGCTCTTACATCCAAGAAATAAGCAATGGCATCAAAAACCTTGATGACTTTTGCTTGACTTGGTTGGAAGAGGGAGAACAAACCTACCTTATGGAATATTAGCTAGTTCTAGAGTACAATCCAGTTGCACTCTATCAAAGGGATAGATGTTAGTTGTGAACTCCCATATATGGTTGAAGAGCTGTAATAAACCTACCCCTCAGTGGCAATTATCCACTTTTTTCTGACTTTATCCTGCCCTTCAGACAGAAGGGCATCAATGCGAATGACTGCCAATTTGTTGACCAAGTAGGCTTGGATCTTCTAGCCTCCTTGAAGCTGTAAAAGTTGCATTTTGATCATCAGTAGTAGGATTTCCCTTTCCCCCCCACTCCACAAGTATCTATTGAACTATTTCTCTAGAAGTTGGCTGCCGCTGGATTTTAGCCATATAGTTCTTCAGGTTATCACAACAGTTAACATGAGCCAGATAGAAAACTGTATTCAGGTATACCTAAATACATTTATTCATGCCCTTGCAAGAAGCACTTGTGACTGGTATCAGTGTAATTCTTTTCCCTGCCTGCAAACATTTACTGCAGCCTCTAACAAGATGAAACAGATCCTCCCACAAAGCAGAAATGGTGTAGCTTCAACCAAACCTACGTGGTGAAAGTCATTTGGATTGTGGCAACAAGTAAATGTAATAAATAAAATAAAAACAACTACCATTCTCAAAACAGTCTTCAAGCCAAAAAGGATGCCAGAAAGAGTAAAAGGATCATGTATAGTAATTTAGAATTGGTGGAAGGATTATGAGCAGCTTTTAAAACAAGCTATTGACAGGTACAACGCTGAGCACCGACACAAGAAAGGTCTGAATTGCCTTTTTCCCTTTGAATGTGAATTGCTGCCCAACTCTAGAGAGAATGAATTAGCCTTTTGCTCTCTTTTCATATGAATAAGCATACTATACAAATTCCTCAGCTTAACATTCTGTGCATGAATTCCTGTGAATAAGCTTCACTGAACATAATGGGAGACAATTTCTTTTCCAGATTGTAACTTCCATTAATAGAAAACAGAATGTTGACCCTAATACTCAAGACTTAAATATTCCTACGGAATTCTTAAATACTAATTTATATATTCAGTGCTTTTAAAATGATAGAAATGGCAGCAGTGAAGGGGGAAATGGTTGTGAGGAAGCAAATTGAATTTTAGCAAGTACAAAATGTTAGGTACTGTAATAAAAAAAATGTTGCAGGGGCATTTCCTACCAGTTCACTCTCTTCTTCTTCTGCATCTTTTTTGTTTTCTTCTTTCTGGTCTTCAATGTTTGCATCAAAGTCTTCCATCTCCACCTAAGTCAATATATAATAGTTGGATTATACCACTGGAAATATGTTTTGGCATTACCTACTTAAGAGAGAAGAGCAGCAGAGACTATAAATGCAAAATAACACACAAAACCTTTCTGAGAATTCACTTAAATAGTTACATATTTCACAGGTAAAATTTCTATTTTCTACAGAGCTATTCTATATTTAAAATCTTATTTCAATGTATATTACATTATTATTGTATCAATTTTCACACACCTCTTCTAAATAGCACCAATATGAATAAGCATTATTATATCTGATGTTATTACAATCAGACATGCATACATACATACATACATATATACATGTACATATACATACATACATATATATAAACACAGCTCATGCAGTAGGATTTCCTCCAGAAAAGATATGCACCATGAACATGGATGAATTACATTCTGCCAGTGAATGGATACCATTAGATGCAATCCACTGGTAATGGCCATTCTTATGCTTTAGTACAGTACTACATCACTTATGAAGACTTCACCAAAGAAGTATCTTTAGATACATTGCATAGGGTTAGCGTAGAGATTTGTATTTTATGAAGTTTATTCAGAAAATGCATTTTTTGATAGCATATTCAGTGTATATGTCCATGAGAGTGAAGCCTATAACTCATAGGTGTCATGTATCTTCCAAACTTCTAATTTTTAAAAGCACATTTTATTAAATAATAACTCAATCTGAAATCACTGTGTATTAGCACATAATTTCTACCTCTGTAGGTATAATTCGTAGATTTTCTTTACCAATTTGGATAAGTTAGCTTTTTGCAAATCTCACCTCTTCAATAGCAGCATCTTGTAATAAAGACCGAATATCTAAACGTATCATGTGGCGGGGTGCTGTTTCCCAATGATCAGCCATCTGAAAATGAAAAATAAAAACTGAAAAAAAATCTACAATGTTTATGTAGAAGAACACACAGTTCTTACCTAGGAATACATGCTATCCAAGTATGGCTTGATTAGAATAATGAAGTAAGATATATATCTAATCCTATGTTTTCAGATTAAAAATGTTGGTAATAGCTTAGTTATAGCATAATATATGTTATATTAATAAGTACTTCCAAATAAGATCTGGCCCAAATGATAAAGGAACAAAAGAAGGAAAATTAACAGAAAAACTGGCTACTGAAAAAAATTCAACATATATAAAATAATTTTAAAATTCTTAAACCAGGCTTGTTCTACCACTTCCCCCAGGACGCAACATTTTTAATACTGTAATGTTGGAGAAATCTATTTACAAAGTTACCTTATTGATTTCTTTGAGCTTACGTCCATGGACATTTCTCTTGCAACAAGTTTGGTTGTCTGCAGTTATTTCAGCTAAGTAAACCTAAAATATAAGAAAAAGAGGGAATGTGTTTGAAAACATGTGGCAGAAGTATTTTTCAGTATATGTTTTATGACCTGAACAAGTATGTGCCAATAAGATGTAAAAAAAAAAAACAAGGAATGGAAGCATAATCACTGTCTGGATCAATTTATTTATTTACTTACATTTAAAACATTTGTATAATTGCCCATCTTAAAACCAGACTCTGGGTAGCGTACAACCACTAAAACAAAATATACAATCATAAAAACAAAAAGACAATAAAACCAAAAACAGAAAAACCTGGTGCCCCAACCACGCTTCTCTGATGCAACCCATGACATTCTCATCCTGCTCTGACCTCACCCTATCCCAGTGTCTGGGGGAAGAGCAGATCTTAAGTGCTCTTTGTAAGGTTAAAAGGGTGGGGGCCTGTCAAATCTCAAGGGGAGTGGCATTCCACAGGGCAGGGGCTGCAATGGAAAAGGCATGCTTCTGAAGACCTACAAAGTGGCAATGTTTAAGGGAAGGGACCTGGAGCATGCCTACCCTATCCACTCTGGTGGGAAGGGCAGATACCCTCAGGGATAAGTGGTTCTGCAGATAACCTGGTAATATGCCCTATGTCATGTAGGGCTTTAAAGGTGATAACCAACGCCTTGAATTACACCTGGAAGAAAACTGGGAGCCAGTAAAGCTCACGCAACAGGAGTGTAATATGGGTGAACCTAGGGGTGCCCAACTCTGGGCACACTGCTGCATTCTGGACCAGCTGTAACTTCCAAGTAGTTTTCAAGGGCAGCCCCATGTAGACTGCACTGCAATAATTCAAATGGGAAGTGACTAAGGCATGAGTGACCATGAGCAAGGCCTCCCAGTCCAGGGAAGGATGCAATTAGCATACAAGGTGAATCTGTAAAAAGGACCCCCTAGCTATGGCTGCTCCTTGAGCAGTAGCCGTGAGTCTAGGAGGACCCGCAAATTGTGCACCAGCTCTGTCTGGGAGAGTGCCACCCTGTTCAGTCACAAATGGCATATTACCAGACCCTGGGGAACCAAAAACCCAAAGCCACTCCATCTTGCCAGGTTTGAGTTGAAGTTGGTTCTTCCCCATTCAGAGTCTCACAGCCTCAAGGCACTTGGTCAGCACTGCGACAGCCTCACCTGCCCAGCCAGGGGTGGGGATGTATAACTGGGTATCATCGGCATACTGATGATACCACACCATATGCCGGCAAATGACCTCACTCAGCAGTTTCATGAAAATGTTAGAGGAGAGGAGAGAGACCCGAGCCCTGAGGCACCCCTCAGGAACCTAGGGCTTCACCTCTCCCGCAGCACCAATACCAACTGAAACCAGCCATGGCGAAAGGAGAACTACTGCAAAACAGTGCCCCCCACTCCCAGTCCCCAAAGTCAGCTCAGAAAGATACCATGGTTGATGGTATCAAAAACTGCTGAAAAATCCAGGAGCGCCAGGACAGTTGCACCACCCTCTTTCTCAGCCCATAGGTCATCTGCAAGCACAACCAGTGCCATTTCAGTACTGTACCCCAGCCAGAACTCAGCCCCAAAAATGTCCAGATAATGTGCTTCATCCAGGGCCATCTATAGCTGAGCACCAACCACCCTCTCAACAACCTTCCCTAAAAAAGGAAGGTTGGAGACTGGATAAAAGTTGCCTAAAACTTTTAAGCCCAAAAAATTGGGCTTAAGCTGGAAACAGGCCTATATAATCATGACCCAAAGATATACACTAGCAATATTTTCCTTGTGTTTAAGAAAAGAACAATAACAATTATAGCAATAAATTATATTTTAAATGGTATTCTCCAGTAAATCATAGTAGTCACATCAAAGAACAGCTTGAGTCCAGCAGAACACTACTAGCCAAAACTGAGCTTTTTGTTAACTTTCTGAAAGTGGAAGGGGAGATAAAGATATTGCCTTTGTTGGAAGGCAATTCCACAGATGGACTATTTTTCTAGAATACAGAGAGAAAAGAGACCTATATGACCTTCCTCAGATTCTAGCATAGTAGCTTTTTCATTCCCCACCATCCAAAACCCCTGTTGGTTCTACCTCCCATGGCTTAGTTATATATGATTTATGTTTTAAACTCACACTTGAAACTTTGCCTAAGCAATAATCTAATTTTGCACTCTACTTTCAGTCTGCATTCTAGGCCTTTGAAGTGGTACTTATGAGTCAATGCAGAGTAGTCATATGAACAAAGAGTACTGTTTTATAAAGAGTCAGACCTAGATTGCTGTTGTGCACCATCTGATGCTCCAGGGCCAAATATGTCCCTCTTGAAGGCATGCCCCAAAGATTTCTAAAAGTTATTACTAATTTGTACTATTTAATGTGACAGAAGGGGAAAATGTAACTTTTGTCTTACCCTCCCCTGCTGCTGTTTGAATTGTGGTCTCTCACATGCCACTCAAAGTCCAAGTGTAGTCCTTCACCCAGAGAACCAGAGCGCATAGACTGGCAAAATCTTGTCAAGGTTTCAATTAGGAATATTTCCCAGAGATACAGAGGAATGAACCTAGACCTTTTACACACAAAACATATATGCTATGCCTAAGCTCTGGTTGTCAGTTCAACATCTACTGGATCTTCATGGCCTCATATCCTCATACTACCTATACCTAGATCTGCTGTTATTGCCTATCTTATAGTTTATGATTTATTGCCTATCTTACAGTTTATGATTTAAAATCACTGGAAGTTTGTTTTAGAGGTGTTAATAATTAGATAAATTATCTAGGAATGCTTACCTCAAATCCTTTTGTTTTTGCAGCACTCCAGAATTGCTCAAAGTGCCGTACCCTATCATTGATGGCATCAAGAATGATAAAGGGGAAAAAGCCATCATCCAAAGTCTTCTTGAAAGTTTTAAACAAGCTGGTACGATAGATCTCTTCCATATCAGCTTCATATTCATACTCCAAAATCTAGTCCAGAAAAAGGGAATGTTAGGCAAAGAATAAGCCCCTTTTTCTTGAAGAACTTAAATCTACCTATTGCTGTCCCATATACTAGAAATGAATAGCTGATATAGTTTGTGAAAATGAAATGAAAAGGAATGAGAGAATGCACATTATTAGCATTCAATTGTGAATGTGGATAACCCCATGCAGCAATTTTATACATATTCCAAAATATCAAAGATGGCCCTTAGGAAGCCTATGGCACAAATGCTGGGTAGGAGATCAATAACAATGAAATTAAGAATCCACACACCTAATGGGTGTGGAAGTAGTGGGACACAATTCCCCCTAATTTCCACTTCCGAAATATTATCTAGAAGGCTACTATGGCTCTTAGTACTGAAAGATGCTGACAGGTCAACGAAAATTAATAGGGTTCTCCTCTTACTCCTCCAGCATGTTTCCCAGTATTTCAGTCCATACTAGCAGTCAAACTTAAAAAGATCAGAACTATCTAAGAATGCCAGAAGATGGTACTATCATTTGCTCCAATACTTTGTCCAAGAAAATAAGAATCAATATTGCTGACACTTAGGAATGGGAGTTAGGATGGGAGTTGAAATTCAAAAATCTGGAGAGTATTGGATTATCTATCTCTGCTTTAATCAAGGTTCTTTTGGACATATTCTAACTTTTTTGTCCACTACAGAAATTGAGATACTGTCTCAAATGCATCACTGCACCAAATCCACCATGTTAATTAAATATAGTGATATTCTGCACAAGTTGAAATCTTCCACTGGCTTAGAATACAGTACAATAGTCCAGTCAATATATATCATACATAAGCCCACATCTTATCTGACCACATACCTGGCCACAACCAGTGCCTAATTATTTAATGACATAGTCTAGTCCAGGAGAACCACTGTGCTATTAACCTGATCAATTAAAGAGAATCCAAGGCAGCCATGGTATACTATCCTTATCTACGTTCCCTGGATGTAGATTTTGCTTATTTAACCTTGTCTAAGTCATCACTAATTCTAAACACAGGTTCAGAACCTTTCCAGTTTAACTGGTATTTCTGAACATTACAGAAGTTTCAACTAGATGATCCGTGTGTGCTCTTCCAACTCATCAATTCTATGATCCTCTAAACCTGTTATATTCAAGTAGACTTTCTGTATGATTTAAAACCAGAATTTTGCAGAATTTTAAAATGTATTGAAAGCGTGTAGCAAACTGCTTGCTGCATATTTTTGTCTTCAGATTCATGGAGGGTGGCAGAGCTAGGTGAGAGCAGAGAGTACATCCCATCTCTCTTGTCATCACATCCTCTTTCATGAATGAATAGGGCTTCACTCATGTGATGATCTAGAAATAATCTTGCTTACAATAAGTGCTATCTTGTATGAGTTTGTGTGAGGCAGAGAACTAATGGCTCATCATGAAGAGAAGACACCTATAAGCAATAATTGATAATCAAAGACATTTTTTAAATCCTGGAAGTAATCAGGGAACCATGAAGAACATCAACTGTATTGTCAGGAAAATTCTGCAAAGCCATCTAAAACCCATTTGGTTCCAAATGAACTAATTCCTCAACCCAGAAAATACAGATTAAATTGTACAGTAAGAGTCAACATCAACTTGATGGCACATAATCAAGGATTTGTTCAACTGAAAAAAAAGTTGTCAACTCTCCACTCCTAGATCATAATCTAAATTTTTCTAAAATAGAATGTAGACTAGGATAGTTTCTTGGCTATTTTGTCAACCAGAAAAATGACTATGTTAGTTTTCATGTCTGTAGGAAATCAGCTACAATAATTTAATCAATAATTGGAATATACATTAAGAATACCTTCTTTTTTATTTTTTTCTTTGTATCTGGGTCCCTCTCTTCTTTTTCTATTTCAGTGATAAAATAGTCATCCAGGCTGAGTACTCTGGGTGCAGCTCCTCCACATTCAACTTCTTTATCCTAAGAAGGAAAAATAAAGAAAAATCTTGAAACATATACCATCAAAGCCAAATTTTCATCCAATTCCTAAGAGAACATTCTATTTCCATATTTTCAGTTCAATCAACCTGGTTGTTATATATGATAGGACAGAAAAAGGTTACACAAGGTAATCTTAAATAACATGTATGGTGTAAAATCCAGAATTTTCATCAAAAAATAACTTCCCTTTGTCCTGTGGGTGGATAAAGAAATGAAACTGTGACTGGGATGAAGAAATGAAACAAGTGACTGGAACCAACATGCAATTCAATTCTACTCTACTCTTCAATACAGACTGAGGACAAAGAAAACAACCCAGTTATCCACTTACCCTGATGAGCTTAGCAACATGAGTCTTTCCACTGCCTGGCAATCCTCGCATGATTATGACAATCTAAAACAGAGACCACACAGATGAAAGAATGCACACCTCTTAAGCTGAATAATGAGGATTCAGTAGACCAAATAATTTTTCTGACTACAGACTGGCAAGCTATAGGTAGTCCTTGCTTAACAATGATAACTGGGACCAGCAACTTCGCTGCTAAGCAATGTGGTCATAAAGTGCAACATCACATGACTATGCCAACTTATGACAGCAGTTACAGTAGTTCCAGTTGCTGTCGTTAGGTGAATCCTGTGCAGTCACAGTGTCCTGTGGTCACGTGATCATCATTTGCAACCTCCTGCCGACTTCCACACTGACTTTGCTTGTCGGAAGCTGGCAGTAAAGGTTGTAAATGGTGATCACGTGATCATGGGATGCTGCAACTGTCAGAATTGTGAACGGGTTGCCAAGCACCCAAATCACAATCATGTGATCATGGGGGCACTGCGTTGGCCACAGCTATGAGGAATGGTTGTGAGTCCCCTTGTTCAGCGCTGCTGTAGCTTTAAATGGTCGCTGAATGAGCGGTCATTCAATGAGGACTACCTGTATTACAGTACTCAAATCCCTGCAAATTCTTCAATAAAGATTCACAAAATGAAATCACCATAGCAACATTATTGTAGCAATAGTGAAATAGATTTCAGATTTGGCATGATATAACTGCTCATCACTCATACCCTCTTCCCACCAGAGTCCAACTCCAGGATCAAAATAATCCTGCAGGAAACCGGTTATAACCTATGTAATTCTGGATACTAGGATAATGCCACTTTTCAATAATTATAGTTTAAGCAGAAAATGAGAAAATTAATTAGACAAGTAGTACATACTCAGAAGAAGAAAATATGTTAGAGTGAAAAAAAGAAAACATATTTGGAAATCAAGATACTGCTGGAATGACAAGACTATTGGCCTATGAAGGAGACATCATTCACAAGCTGCTCTTTCTTCATGCCAATCCTTTGTTCTAATTGTAGTCTTCCTTGACAACCAAATATATAAGATTCAATAATTTATTTTTTCACTGAAAACCATCTATAACAATATAATTGTGCAAACATAGACTGACTTAGCCATGCACCAAAGACTTTTGAAGGCATGAGTATCAGCTCTAGAAAGCATTGTTTCATAAATACAAGCAGAAATGCAAAATTCCTTACACATTTGTTACCTCAGATTAGAAATCCAGAGTCATAGTACTTACCCGCTCTGGTCTACTTTCCCGTCCAGGCTGCTTCAATATGTCATCCACATTTTTTGATTCTGGTTTCCTCTCTACACGTGGGGCAGGTGGTGGTTGTCGGGGTATTGTTGGAGCAGAAATGGGAATTCTATCCTCAGCATAATTTCTCCGATCACCTTTCAATGCAATTTACATGAGAAAGAAGAGGAAAAAAACAAGATATAAATATCTGGACAGAATAATAACTGCAGAAGTTCCATTTCTGTTTCCAATAACCTAGCATTTTTGTCCCAACTGAATAAACATTATTAATTTATTTTTTTAAATGTCTCTGCTACTGCAAATATAAGCAACCGGAAGATGGCATGATACCAAAAAACCAAGAAAGAAATAAAATCTTGTCTTTCATATCCAGAGGCTCTAGTATTAATATCTTTAACTAAATAATTTACTCCTTTTTTAGAAATAAGTTATATACTAACTTGATTTTAACAACAGAAGAAATTAACATAAAGTATCATGAAAAAATCTATTTAAAATGTCATTTTTGCAGCTTATGTTCATGCTCATTGTATGGTAACTACCTACAATTGGAAGAGTGATATATGAGCATATGAGTGGGTTTGACTGGAAAAGGGATAAATTCTGCTACGGGGCATTCACTACTGCTTCTTTAACATAATACACATCTCTGCATGCACAGGCTATCTGAGTCATTAATCTGATCATGAATGGTCTGTGTCAGTGGTTCCCAACTTATGGTCCAAAAAATACTGCAGGTTGTCTGTGATGCAGATATCAAAATGAAAATAAATACATAAATAATGGATGGGTTAGTGCAAGATTGCCAAATTTTGGATGTTTTTGGCCTACTCATGATAGCTGTCATTTTTAATGTTATAAAAAGTATTTTTATTAACTTTGGTAGTCCTACAACCACTACTGGGGCAGGGGATCCTCTGTGCCATGATGAATGCAGGCATTGCATTGATGACCACTGTCTTACGTAAGAATCCACAAAAGTTTTCAATGATTACTGAGTAGTTGGCATATAGCAGTGTTTCTCAACCTTGGCCACTTGAAGATGTGTGGATTTCAACTCCCAGAATTCCCTAGCCAGCCAAGGTTGAAAAACACTGCTATATGGCATAAGCCTGAACTGCTAGTCTATGTACTGTATATCGGTCTTTTCTCACAGACATCAATGCCTGGAGGTGTTCGTGTTTGTGCATAATTCTAAGCAAGCCACAGAAAGAGCTATACAAGTTTGTCTGCAGGTTCAATAGTAGGAAAACTCAAGCAGAAACACTGAGCAATGTGCGTGAACCTCATGCTTATTCACAGGTCAAGTCAGAATTCTATATACTACTGGCTTGCTATAATAGCTAAATGCATACATCTTTATGATACTGGTGCATATAATTTATAGAATTACTCTTACAATTACTCTTTGAATTAGAGAGTCAAATAATTTAACATACTTCATTTACTGAACTTCAGAAACAAGGTATCACACTTCCGCCTAGATACCCTGACCCCAATAATGGATACATCTATGCATTCACAGCTCCAGATTAGCAGTTAAATGTACATTAATTTTATGTCAATTCCTGCAAATGATGTAATTTAACAGACATTTGGGAATGGATATCCCTCCCCTACAACTGGTCTTTTAAACAGAGGTTCCACTTGTACTTGATAAGTAACATCAATCAAGTTTACGTTTTTATCCTCATTCTAACCCACTAATTTTCTATTCCAATTCTCAATGATTTTAGAATTATACCTCCAAACATGGAAGGCCCATGATCATAAGGAGGACGATCAGGCTTCCGCTCATACGACTGTCTTTCAAATCCTCCCCTTCTTGAGACTGAATGATCTTTGTCACGGTAAGACTGACTTCTTGAAGGAGATGGCCTGCAAAATGGAGAAAGCACTCAAGTGAATTTATTTATTTAAAAGATTTATACGGCCTTCTTATCTGCCTACAATTCTGGGTGGCTCACAAAAACAGCAATAAAACCCAAAAACCAACAATAAAGTCAATGTCCAAAATGAATGCTCAGCATATTACATAAATTATCTAAAATGTGGAAGAGACTCTCTGATTACCTCATTCCTTGTTACTGCTACTGGATGCAATTAATATATTTTAGTGTGACCATTCTAAATGGCATATCCATATAGTATATCCTGTAGTGATTTTTGGCATGATTATTGGGAAGAAGGCAAGAAACCTAGTTGATCTCTTACCATTTTGTCAACTTTACCCATTAGAGAAAATTTCTCAAAATCAAACCTCCCATACACGCAAAGATTCCTTTTACATAAAAAAAATCTCAACCTATTAGCCTGAATTAATTTGAAATTTGTTATGATTTATCCCAAAAGCAATTACGCTAGCAAATGTTACGGAATCCAGTCCAAAAATATGTAAATTATAGACATTTTTCTAATGATAAATGAAAATAAATAAATTAAGGGTGCCTAGCTCTGTGGTTACCATGCTGTCAAAAGGGTCACTTTTTCCTGAAAACGTCATCTGATTCTGTTGAAAAGTAAACATGCTACAATGGCTTATGTTTTCTGTGTTTTCGGTATTTTTCTGTGAAGCACAAATCTTGCTTTGGATCAGGTCTGATGTAAAGTGGGCAGCCTCTGACCTGGCCCAGAATGAATGACTATCTTTATTAGTGCAACTCAGTATCACAACATGTCCAATGACAGTACTGGCTTAACATGACTTTGGATTTTTCTTATGACAAATATGGTTACCTTTGCTTTTTAAAAATCAAAAACATTTCATTTTACAACATACCATGAAACTCTGAAACAGCACAGTATAAATATAGATATTAATAGTTAGCAAGGAAAAATGCAAGAGAAACAAATTAGCAAAAGATAGTAGCAATAGAGGGAAACAGAGTAAGATTCGATCAAAATGGAATCATGATATGTTTTGCCCCACAACACAGCATCAGTATCACAGGTGAAAGACAACACACACTGTTCTTCCCACTCCAATAAGATGCATTTGTGTTAGATGCAGGGCAAGAGAAAACCAAAGCTTGATTGATCTTAGAAACGATGGTGTGTTCACTTCCAGGGAAGAAATGGCAAACTGAAGATGGACTGCGGCATAATGAAGAGCCGGTAAGTGGACTGGCTCTTTGCAATTTCTCTCTGGACAAGGAGAGGACTTGGGATCACCCACAAAGCTCCAGACAGCTGCTCCTCATGAGGAGACACAATACAGCAGTCTCTGGTGGGTTTAGAGCTCTGGGAGATGAAGAAATGCCATCTTAGCCCAAACTGTGGTCGGTGCCCTTATGGACACAGGGTTCGCATACTTCATTTTCTAATCACTTTTGGAAATTGCTTGTTAACTGCTTTTCAGTTATTAGGAATCTACAGACCGACAAGTTTTATAGCACCGGGTGAGTTTCCTTAATCCTTAATGAAAGAAGTTTTAAATACAAGTTTAAAGACTTTAAAAAAATCTTTTTTTGGAATAAATAGCAAAAAGGTGATTGGAACATTGATTCTGGAAAGTTACAAATGGACTAAGGGTCCAGATGAATTTGAAATAAGATTTTGCAATTAATTATAAGAATTCCTCCCATGGGAAAATGATGTTGTTTTGAATTCTTAAAAAAAACATATGGTAGGATGGGGCTTGGAAGGTTGGACTCTACAGGGAACCAGAAGGAACTAAAGATTACAAGTAAAGAAGAAGAACATTTAAATTTGACTTACTAATACAGAATGGAGCAAAATACTTTAACACTGTACAAACATCAAACAAAAAAAAAATATTTGTGAACAACAGACCCAGAAGTTAATTTTAAGAGTGTCTGCCATTATAGTTAAACTGTGTTTAAAAGATGTTATTAAAGATGAACAAGTTTTACTGGACAAGACTGAGAGTGATTTGAAAATGGATTTAAAAATGACAGGCTGCAAGAATGGAAAGATTCCACAAGATACAGAAAAAGATGCTACACTGGATATACAAATGAAACCACCTGATGTCTTGACAATTAAAAGGCATATACAAATCACAAACTAAAAGAGTGATCTGCATAACTTTCCTATATTGGATTTATAAAAGAAACTTGTTAAAGTTTTGAAGAATTTTGTGAGAAGGGATAAAGAAAAAATGAAAAGAAAACAAGTTCTAGGACATTATTTGAAGGGATTAAAGATCAAGATTGTTAAAAGTAAAAGAAAGGAATATAAAGTTGGTTTATTTGATCAAGGTTAAAATAGATGTTGCTATCTTTGGTAACCCTTAATGGACTTTTGCTGATCAGGACTGAATGGACGAGGTTTTAAGGATTTGTTTATAGATAAGAGATGAGATTTGGGAAGAAGAGGTCATTTGTTGTATTTTAAGAGAAGGTGATAAGTTACTAAAATTGTTCATACTTGTGATGAAGGGGGAAGCCATTTCTTTATATATATATATTTTCTTTTTCTTTCCTATATTCTTATATTTTCTTTTTTTCTATTTTTCTTCCTATTTTTTTTCTTTTCTGCACTTTCTATTTTTTCTTTTTTTTAGTTTGTATTGGTTTTTATTTTTTTAATTGTAATGTTTAATAAAATTATTATTATTATTATATATAAAAAAAGAAACAATGGCGTGTTCCTCAATGAAGATACGTGAGCTGCTTCCTGGAACTCATTATGACAAGAGCTGGTGTTGCTATTATTAGCAAAGTGTTATGCCATCTATTTCACTTATCCTATATTAACACATTCCATTTTATATGACTTTTTAAAAATTAACTCAATTAAGAATAAAAGGAATTTTTCTCTGTCTGTCTAACATTGCAGAATAGGATTCTATTCTTGTTTATAACACGACTTTTGTTTATACAGAAAATCAACTATATAAAAAGTTTCAATAACGATTATGAAAGCACATTTTCTTATTTAAATATTTCTGCTTTATATACCTGTCTTCTCGTGGGTATCGTTCTTTGTCAAATCTTTCCCGATCATGATCTCCAGAAATCCGGTCCCTATATGGTTCCCGTTCCCTTCTGAAATCCCTGTGGTCTGGATTGGTATTATTTTGTCGTTCAAAATAATTCTCTCTCTCCTTGATGTATCGGTCTCGCTGGCCTAAGTGTTCTGGAAAAAAAAAGTCAGAATTATCTTAGATCTAGCCTACAGTAGTAAAGAAATTTTTGAGCTGAACCAGATTGCAAATAAAATGATCATATCAGGGACAAGACTATGTTGAACCCAATTTTTCCCTTCATACACTAATGTTATACGCAAAGAAAGAATCTCATTCTGCACATTATATAAAATAATTCTAAATATTTAAAATAATCCAAAGCATTTAAGTTATCACATCACAAAAAGAAGAGAAAAATGCAGCTCAGCTTAAGAAGAAAGCTATCAAATTCCAAACAAATGTCTTTTTTCTCAAAGAGATATTTCTGTGACAACAAAGATAAATCCACCTTTTGAAAAGGGTTGCCTTTCATGAGGAGGTTCTGGACGCAGAGTTATTCGCTCCCCGTATGGAATTTGTTGTCCACTTTTACTGGTAGTTATATCTGTTAAATACAAATTAATAAAATTAAAGACCCCGACAGCCTCCAGATACTGGTTCTAAACTTCCATCGCATTCTTAATTTGGCCTGGATGAACTGTGTATCATCAACATATTGATGATATCTCACTCCAAATTGGTGGTTTTTCCCAGTGGCTTCATGTAGATATTAAACAAGATTCTGGGATTCAGTGTTGTGGCATAAATGGAATCTCCTTTGCTCTGCAAACACCAACTGCTTGCTCACAAAGGAGCAGATCCACCACAATATGGTTCCTCTGACCTCCAGCCCTCACAGACAGTCCAGAAGGATACAGTGGTCAGTAGTAACAAATGCTGCTGAGAGATTTAGTAGAAGGGTGGGCGTACTCCCTCCTTCCAAATCCCAGTGCAGGTCATTCGTGAAGAAGACCAATGTGATTTTAGTCCCTAGTTAGGCCTGAGCTCTAACTGCCAGAGGTCTAAATGATCCACTTCCTCCAGACCATTTGTAGCTGCTGTCCCACCACCTTTTCTACAACCTTTCCCAAAAATACTAAGAGATCCAGAACAGGCCTCTTCAGGAAGCTCCTTAATGTTTTATTAAGTAGCAATCAAAACATTAATAGCATTCACCTTGACCATGGCTGTGTCCATGTCCGTAGTCAACAGTCTGATGAAAAATTGGTGGCTTGGAATGAAGTGCCATACCAGGCACAAGAGATGCTGAGACTGTTGGTGAAGCCAATGAGGAATCAGATGTAGATAAGTCATATTCTGATTTCAACCCTTTATCTTCACTACTGTCCCAAAGTCCCTGGAAAGAGTCCTCATCCCAACGTTCCTGATTCATCCCAGATGATGACTTTACCATGGGAACTGAAACCTGAGTTGTTGCTGCAGTTGAAATGGGAATTGAAATATTTGATTGTAATGGTGGAGCAGATGGTTTCCCTGTTGGGATAGGAACCTTTGTAGCTGGAACAGGGGGTCTTATCACTGGAGAAGATGATTTTATAGGAGGTGGCTTAGTGGTTGGAGTAGGTTTCCGAAACAAGACTGGTGGCTTTATGATTACAGCTGGAGTAGGCTTAATAGGTTGTTCCTCTACTGGTATTTTACCTTGCATTTCAGAAGAGGCCTAAATAATAGGAAATTTGAAAAGAAAACACTTGTAAAATAACTATCATATCAACAATGTTTTCAGCCATGATTTTCTTTGCATGCCATAACAAAGTGAACCATTGGATTCCATGCTTCTCCCTTTTCTCTCCAATGTGGCCAGCTTTGAAGCTTTCACTTTTAGTTTAATCATGGACCGTTAGGATTTCTCGACCAAAACTGAGAGGAAACATTGATTACTTTAAAACAACTTGATCTGAAACAGTATTTTCTGAAGCTGACTTTTTTAGTTAATCATAGGCCCAAATCCATATATTCAACAAGCAACCAAAGTGCAATTTGGTCGAATTTCTAAACCTGGATTGCAGGAAGAGGAGAGAAGGTAGTGCATGAGTCCAGCATTCATTGTGACTGTTCCTATTTATGCAATCTTGCTAGGCTAAATGATGCCCTCTATGCATGTTAAACTAATTTCCTTCATTCACAGCCAGCATAACTAATTTTGGAGAAGGCTGCATGAAGCTATTGTTAAGCATGACACGATATATATATGGAACCACTGTTATACAACTATATGCCTTGATTCTTTTCTAAAATATGTACTTTTTGTAGACTTTCAGTATTAAAAATGGGTACAAAACAAATATAAATTAAGACATATGTTGAAAATGCTATTGTTTATAAACATCTAAGCTATCAAATTTAAAGGGGCTGGACTAGATGTTGGTAGACTATGATACAAAACCAGGTGGGTAACTTTGGGCCAGTCACTCTCTCTTAGACCTAGGAAGAAGGCGGCAAACCACTTCCAAAAATACTGCCAAGAAAATTGCACGGACTTGTTCATTTAGTTACCAACAGTCAAGACTGACTTGAAGGTGCAAAAACAAAACAAAATCAAATATGCCTCTCTCTTGTGGAACAGCATACCTCTGAGATTCAGATGGCCCTGTGTTGGCCTTCTGTAAGGCCTTGAACTTCTGGGTTTTCCCCTGAGCACTGACCCACAGCATTGAATCAACCCATCCTGAAATGGCTTGGGAAATGTTAATATGATTGTGGGTTAGCTTTGGTTGTGTTGTATTGTGTTGTTTGTGGCTTTTATATTTATTGGTTGTTTTGTGTTTTTAATACTATGTCAACCACCCAGAGTTGCAATCTGCAAGTTGGGTGGCCATATACATACATATATATATATATATATACACAAATAAAACCTTTTTATTAGCAACATTAATCTCAGTGGTCCAAAGTTATCTTCCTACGTCTCAGCCCTATGGTTAAGTTTTTGCAAGCAGCTCCAGGTAAAGCAGCCATGTGGTAAAAAACAAAACCAACTGTTTGCTTTTGCCTATCAGCTGTATAACTACAAAGGATATTATAATCATGAGTAACTGTTGTCTTGCTTATACAAACTAGTGCTATGAACTGCTGGATAAATCATTACTTCTTCCTTGGAGCTTCCCCAAATAAAGACATTTACAATATAAAAATAAAAGTACAATTCTCTGGAGCAGCTATCAGTTAAACAACACATACAACACATGCTGCCTCAAACAGAATATATCAGTCACAAACACTAAGTGCCATAACTACTATTCTATGTCCCAAGAATTATCTTTTAGGGTCATTCAGATTATATCATTTTAGATTTAATTTAAAAAACCCAGGAACAATAGCAAGTTTCAAGTGTAATGTCATAACCCCAAAATCTATTTTCATCCAACCCAGGGGCAGCACAGACCTTCCTGAATTGGTGTTCAGAAGCCATGCTGAACTTGATTTGAGCAACAATTAAATTCAAGAGAAACTGAGGTACTGGAATTTTGGATGTTTATGTTGATAGAAAGATGGAGTCACCTGGTCTTGGACCCTTAAGCCAAAATAATAGAGGTGTTTGCCCTATGGCCAGCTGCGCCTCACATATCAGTAATAATCATCCATGCTTTGATGAATTCAAAGATCAGTTCTTTCAATATGCATTTAAATTTAAGCTTATGAAGATGAAAAATAGGTTCTAAAATTATAAAACTGTTTTTTAGTAATTAAGTTGAATTGAACTGACTCCTGGTGACTTCATGGACAATTCCATGCAGATTTTTTGGCAACAGTATGGAATTGGTTTGCTACTCCCTTTTCTGAGATGTTTTTGATTTCTCAGTCTAACCTAAGTTATGGTATCCTCCAATAATAGGCCTGACCCTACTTAGTTTCCAAGTCCAGACAAAGTCAACCTGTTTCTGCTACCTGCTTTTTGCTACTTTCTTTTTGGAGAAATACCATGCCAAAACTCTCTATTATTATCTTTTAGAAAGCAGATAACATCATTTTGAACCTCACAAGAACAAAACATGAAATAATTTCTGTGTCTGGTACTTTATAATATAGGCTTATGCCATTTTCATTATATATTTTGTTGGCCATGGTTTATCCTACTTTGGGCTTCTTTTTCAAATGAAAAGGAAATATATTTTATACTTATAAAGTATACTGAACTATTAGAGAGAAACTAAAGAGGAACGAAATGTTACATGGCATTTCTTGCTTTGCAGTTAAATATTACTGTTGTAGCACTAATGAATTCTGACTCTGATATATCAAAACATGGGAACATGGTGAGTTCCACCTGCCTTCTCTTTCTCTCATCTTCAAAATCCATTCCTGATGGATAGGTGTTCCAGTAGAACAACTTATAACAGCATTAAGGCAGTGACAATAAAAAAACTGGCAAGAATCAAAGATTAAAGCATCTTGTTTTTACACAAATGCCATGTTGGATTTTTTTTTTTTGAAAGCTGAAATTCAATTTTAAGACAAAATTCCACCAGAAAATGAAACAGACCCTTGTTTATAAATCAAGGTATAAAATTCTCCTCTAATATATGTATCTCAGAATTAAAAACTTATAATCAACTAGGAAAATCATAAGAAATTGTTTCAGCCAAATATATAGGGTTATGTATAACAGATTCAGATTTTGTGCTTTATTTGTTGTTATACACACTCCTTGTTTAGTGACTACCTTGGTTAGTGACCATTTGCAAATTCAATGGTATAATAAAAAACTTATTTTCTGACAAATCCGTACATTTATGACCAAATTGTGTGCGCCTGACAACGCATGCCAGAGTAAGAGTAACACTGGTGTACTGTATGCGAGAACTTTATCTGAATGAGATGGCAGCAACCAGTGATCTTCACAGCATGTCTCTCTCTCTGTCAAATGTTCACTTAGCAACCATTTCACTTAGCAACCTGGTTGCTAAATGGAAGTCAGTCGCTAAATGAGGGTGTACATGCTCATATTTTTCTACATTTTATGATAATGATTTAGGACAACTTTGCAAATTATCTTGAGGATTTTTTTTTATAGGAAAACCAGACTGTATTTTTTAAAACATATAGACTGTGTGAAAGTCATCCTTGAACAGCATTTACACAGCAATATTTTAATTTACCTGAAAGTTATCCTTCCTAGCAGATGTACTTTGTGACCTAGGCATTTCTTGTGGTGGGATTTCAGACATTTGAGTCTCAGGAACAAATTCATTCATCTTCTGCATATGTTCTTTTTGTTCCCTATAATCAAAAAGTATATTGTTTGTCTTAAATGGTCTTTTTAAGGATATAAACTACACATTTTTCAGTTGTGGTATGAATACTGTGGAATGCTGCCTCCAGGGAGACCTCCCAGCTTCAGATTTATGGGCCTATCAGGTGGTAAGCTAAAAAGAGGAGATGCTAGAAACTTGGAATCTTTAAATATGACTCAGTTGCCCCATCAACTCTGAAAGTATATCATACCATCTGTCCAAGAATGTGATAGTATGAGGTATTGATATGCTTATATACTTACAAGTATACTTATATATTTAAGCAGGAGTAGACTTCTAACAGGCTTTTTTATTTACTGTACAAAGCTTTTGAGATCCATCTGAATCCTGGATCTAAAGATATAGAGATAAATCCACAGGTGTGAGAGAAAACTGTCTCTTGGAAGAACTAGTAATTGTTAGCCTTCCTTTGAGCTATCCCAGCTTACTTTTCAAATGTTTTCATGGAATTTGGTGATGGAGCTATGTTCTTAAAGAAAACCTATATGAATGGATTCCATACATATTCCGTGTTAATTAAAATAATCATTTCTGTTTCACAGATCTTTTTTTCTTTATGCCCTTCCCTCGCCCAATTCTATATGAGATTACAAGGCAGGATTCTTTCTTCATCATGACAATTCAAAAATTATCACTACCAGCTATATTATTTGAACTCTTCTATCATGTGCTTCCTGTGCTTATATTTTTTTTTACTGGAAGATCTGAATTAAAACAGCGATTAATTCCTTTAACTTAAGATTCACAAGATACACTATTTAAAAGTTATTTCAATGAACCTTGACTCAAAAGGAAACTAAACTTGCATAAAGTGCCCTTTCATTTAACGTGACTAAAAGATTTATAGCTGATACCTGACTATATTTTTAAAGTACTTTGTAAGGGCAATTTATTTAAAGAGAAAGTTGAGGAAAATATAATTATCCTAAAATAAAGAGACAAGAAAAAAAAATCAACTCACCGTAGCATTTTTAGCTCTTGGGCAGCCTTCAAGATTATTTCATGTTGCCTTTGACTAAGGACCATTACTCCTCCTAATGACTGCTCAGAAGCTAAATTTGGCTCTTCTTCCAATAATTCAGATGAGCGTGATAGCAGGGGTGGTGGATCCAGATGATCTTCTAAAGGTGCAAATCTATCCATTTCATCAGGATACCACCTCTCTGAAAATCTCTCTCTCTCCCAATCCCCTCTGTCAAGTGGGAAATCAGACTGTTCTCTCCATGTATCACGTCGCTCTGGATATTCGCGAATTCTAATCTCCCCTCTGTCTCTAGAATCTCTGTCATAGAAATCTCTGTCTCTCTCTTCTAGCCATCTATCCTCACGATATCTATCTAATGGAGGGAGTGGTGGCAGAGGTGGCAAAGGAGGTAGAGGCGGTATGTCCATATCACAACTCAATGTATCTCTGTCCCCCAATGGTCTGATATAATCCCTGTCCCAGTCTCTTTCCAATTCACGATCATACGCATCCAAGGGTCTTCTGATCCTGTCAAGATCTCTGTCTCCCTCTCTGTCTCTACCGAGTGGCCTTTCCCATTCATCCCAAAATGGCTCTCGATCCAACAAAGGAGGTAAAGGAGGAAGAGGGGGAAGAGGTGAAAGAGGGGGCAATGGATGACGTTGTGGTAACACCTCCTCTCTCTCATATGGATCAAGGGAATCATCATGATACCTCTGGTCTCGATCGTGCCAATATCTATCTCTTTCCCAATCATCCAATCGTCTGCGTTCTAAAGGAGGAATATCTCTGTATTCAAATGAATGACCCTCTTCTATGCTTTCCTCTTCATAACTCCATGGAGGCCTTGGTGGTTCTTCACGAAATGGTAAATTTTCAATAGCACCTCCAAGTCCTGTATCACGTCTGTGTAGATCCCGCTCCCGGCTGCTAGGCCTCCTAATGGGTTCTCTTTCCCGACTATTACCTTGTCTATCTGGGCCCCTCTCTCGACTAGTAGGTTGTCGACCTGGGCCTCTTTCCCTGCTTCCAATTTGCCAATCCAGTCCTCTCTCTTGACTGCTGGGAGGCCTGACTGTACCTCTTTCCCGGCTGTTTGCTCGGACTCTCTCCCTGCTTCCCATCCAAGGAGTTGGTAACCCTCTTTCCTGGCTGTTTGATCGCCTGCCCATTGGCCTTTCCTGGTTGCCTGACTGTCCACCCATCCCAGGTTCCCAGCTGCCTAACTGACCTTCTGGAAGTTTGTCATGGGTTCCTGGCCCACTGCTTATATCTCTACCAGCAATATCCCTTGACTGACCTCTCCCTCTATTTGCTATTCCTCTTCCTCTCATATCTTCTAATCGGCCCCGTCCTCTACCTCTAGTATCTTCCATTCTACACTGTCCCCTGCCTCTGCCAGCTGGCCCTATTCCCTGATTATCTCCTGGCTTCATTTGTCCTTTCTCCCTGCTTTCTAGTTTAGATGATTCCTTATTCTGATTATTGTCTGGAGAAACCAGTTTATTTTCTGTAGAGTTCATATCTTTATTTCCTATGATTGGTGACGGTAGTAATGTTTTCTTCCCTCCTGGTTTTGGAGGAAGAGTGGAAACTGGTATCTGATGCAGACTTGTGGAAGTGCAAGAAGTTTTGGATGCCTCTGCATGTAATCCAGAATCCATGGCACTTGGTTTCTTTATTTCTGCCATTACTTCTATGGCCTCCTTTCTGGATGTATTTTGATGTACTTTAGGCAAGCTCTTATCTGGCTGAACTGGGTCAGGCATAAATTTAGATTTATTGACAATATCAGTAAACAGTTCTTTATTTTCTCCTTGATGGTTCTGTTGTCCCAAAGGAGGCCTAGGTCCCCGCCACCATGGTCCACTTGCTTGGTTAGGCTGCATGTGTGATGCTCCTGAAGGAGTGTAAAATGCTGCTGCTGGCCCTCGAGGGATAGTCCCCTGTTTTCCTGAAGATCCATCTATATGCTGATTCTGAAGTCTTGGCCTTGGACCTTCTAAGCGTTGGCCCTGAAAATGAGGACCTCTCTGCCTTGGAGGTTCAAAGCCTCTTCCTCGTGGTCCATCAAACCTGTGGGTTTAGACAGAATGTTTTATTCAATTAACAGATTTGGTGAGACTTTCCTATAAAACAATTCCATAAGTCTCCTGGTCAGTGAAATAAATATAAAATTTAAATCACATGTATAAAACAGTGCACACTTGCTGTATTGAGAGGGACAACAGCTGGGAGAAGTGGATGGTGGGGGAAAGTTAGCTCTGTTATTAATTACTCAGTTCTCCACTATTCTGTTATTCAGTGCAGAAATAGTTTGCTCTATCTTGAGATTCTTCCCACTGGGAATTTTGGTTGACTTATCACTTAATCACAAGAACAGACTAACATTTCAGTGCAGTTTATTGTTTACTGATTAGTCAAACAACCATATCAAATAAAATAGGGTAAAATACAGCAATGAAGTAATCAGATAAGATCATCCCCTTGGCAGTTGACCTCAGTCTGATAGAGGTAGGAAGCTCTGTTGGATGGCTTTAGCTATAAACCTGGCAGTCTTTCTTACTGCCCATGTGTTTGTACGATAAGATAGCTTATTGATAGCAGCCCAATGGGCTGTCCTGTCAATTAGTGACTTTAAATGTTGTGCTCTGGCTGAAGCAATATAGTTGGTAGTCAAAGGGGATATGAGTGATGTCCTCTATTTGTGGTGAGCCACATATACATATCCTCTCTGAATAAGGTGCTTGATGAAATTGCCTGTGTTTTACTACAGAATCCAGGAACTCAAATCTTGCTCTGGTTAAGGCTGTTCTTTGGCCCTGTCAGCCCTATAGTTGGATATTTTTCTAGTTGAAAAGCTTTTTTGTTCTGGGCCAGTCATTTTAAGGATTTGATATTAGCAAGTGTCTCCATGTCAACTTGAGCACTAAAGTATCATACAGGGAAATAGGTATATTTTATTATGTTTCCAGATCATGGTTTTTAAATATTCTTCATTGGGAATTCCAAATTGATTTTTTTTATCAAACATCTTTCATGTTTGTCATAACATTAACCTAGTAGTATATTATAAATCATATCTATGTATTATATGATTTACAATATACTATACGGCACTTGGTACTGGAGATAAGATAAAAATGTATTAAAAATGTAATCTGTGGCACACGGATGGAATATCCATCACGCCAGGGATCTTGCATTTGAATAAACATTTCTTGCATTTGAAAAAAAATTGCTTTATGCATTATTTATTCTGTCTGTGCTCTTTCTTTTGGTGCAGAATTCAACTTCAAGTCAGATAAAATGGCAAAATACCTAAAGGCATCAAATTTAAATACAAACACAATTTGTACAAATCCCTTTAATGTAATGAAACAAAAGAGTACTCGAAATGACTAACTCCACAGAGGGTATTTCTGATTATCAAATGATTCTGCTATTCATCTAAATAAGAGGGGATCTATAACAAATATTGCTTGAGTTGTTTCTGAGGTAGACTTTATATTTGGCCTGCCAGGTACTCCAGCTGCAGGAGGCTTTGTAGCATCTGATATAATACATCAGCTTCAGCTCTACAATTACTGCTGTGAATATATGTACTCTTCCTTCCATCTTCCCTGCCTTCTATAAGTGTAAGCATGAGTTGTCTGGCTGTACAATTTCTTTTGCTCTTCTACATTATTTGAGATTCTTCTGGATTGTTTATGAATCCATTTTGGCTGCAAAGTTGTTGACAAACCAGAGTTGTTGAGCTTACTCCTGACCTCATGGCCCTGTTTCAAGCAACATCCTTCATCATGAAAAGTAAACAGAGTATTTGGAAGAATAATTTCCTAAATTATTCAGGAAAGTCTGAGGTGTATATATGTAAAGCATAATGTACCTTCCCACATTGGCAAGGTGGAAAGATGGCAATGACCATCAGATAAGCATATTCTTATCTCTATAAGCACACTGCATCTCTAAAGACCAACTGTATAGTATAAGAAACCTAGGTTTAAGAATATTTCTACAACATTACATAATATAGGATTTTCCAAGTAAAAATGAAACAAAAAGAAAACCTACCTTGGGCCCCTTGGGCCTTCATAGTATGGTCCCCTGGGGGAATCAGGAAACCCAGCTGGCCTCAGTGGTCTGTTCTGATAGGTAGTGGTGGCAGTGGTAGTAGTATTGGACACAGATGATGCTATTGTAGAATTTGATTTCACTTTAACAGAAGCATGGTCAGATGAGGCAGACCCAAATGCCACTGCCTGTTTGCCCAGAGGAGCATAAGAACTACCTTGGTCTGAAGAGCTAGCAGATGCTGTCACATTTGAATGATAAGACAAAGTGGCTGATGTATCAGTATAAGAAAAAGAAACAGGGGAAGGGGTAGGAAGAAGGGCTGGTCTGGTGGTTTCAGTGGCCTGGGTAGCTGCATTTGAATCACCAACCTTAAATGAAAAAGCAGAAGCAGAAGTAGGAGTAGGAAGCAAAGCTGGCCTAGATGTTTCAGTTCCCTGTGGGATGACAGATGAATCACTATTTTTAAAAGGAAAGGAAGTGTGGGTAGGTGTAGGAAGCAGAGCTGGTCTAGCTGTCTCCATGGTCTGGGAGGTAGCAGGAGATTCAGTTGCTTTGTATGAAAAGGTAGTAGTAGTAGGGGTAGGAAGAAGAGCTGGCCTAGCTGTTTCTGTATTTTGGGAAGTAGGAAGTGACTCTGTAACTTTAAACGTAAAAGAGCTAGGAGTAGGAAACAAAGTTGGCCTGGTTGTCTCCAAGCTCTGAGAAGTAGTAGAAGAATCATCTGTTTTGTATGTGAAAGAACCAGATGAAGGGGTAGGAAGAAGAGCTGGCCTGATCACCTCTGTCACCTGAGAAGTGGAAAGTGATTCACTAACTTTAAAAGAAAAAGAATTAGAACTAGGAAATAGAGTTGGCCTTGTTTCAGTGGTCTGGGTGCTCTTAGGTCCAGATTCTTTTGAAACAGTCATGTCAGATGGCAATGGGCCAGCAGAAAATCCAGTAGTTGATGAAGGAAGCGTAGCTGCAGGTAAAACAGGCACACCACCTTGCACTGTTTGAGAATATGGAGAAAATGGAAATGTTGTATTCCCAGGACACTGAGTATTCATGTTTTGAAGAGACTTCACCTTCTCCTGAAGGTGATTATGAGTGGCTTTCATTTGTCCCTGCCACATTTTCCACTGTTTCTCACACTCATGAAGCTGGTCTTTGTGAGGATAGGCCTGAAGTTGATCCTGCCACTGCTGAAATTCACGTTCCCACTCTTTGTAAAGTGGCTGGAACTGCTTATTCTGAGTCTCATAATGCTGTAGCTGCATCTCCACTGTTGCTGTCTGCCAGAAAAAGAAAGTAATAATGAAGATATTGTAAGTTTGGGTTTTTTAAAGTCATGATCTGTACTCACACTTATCCAAATGTATCAGGGTAGCAAACATATCAAGCTTAAACGAAATTCCATACTTTCCACAATTTCACTTATTTTTTTCACCCACAATTTATTACTATTTTCTAGTAAAAAAGTGTTTTTAGTTTAGTTTTCATTAGGAAGTGGTTTTAGTATCAACAGTGTTACTTCTAAGATTGATATATAATTTCTAGAAAAAGAACAAGAACATAACATTTCACTACTAGGCAAATATGTTGCCAGCATTCTCTAACATAAAGAAGTCCTAAGATTCAACTCCCATAAATTCCAGGCTGAAATAACCATATTGATGCGGGGGAGGAGGAGGAGGAGCAGCAGCAGCAGCAGGAGCAGGAGCAGGAGCAGGAGCAGGAGCAGGAGCAGGAGCAGGAGCAGGAGC